TCCGGCCAGCCACCAGCTTCCGCCGCCGCTGGTTGTCGCCGGAAGCACCACCAATAGCCACAACAGCTTCAGCAGCGACGGCCTTAAGCTCCCCGTCGAAGATCTCTCAGCTTTCCACCACATCTCCCACGACAATGCCTCTGTTCCAGCACCTGTTGATCAAATCCAGAACCAAAACACTAACCATTTGATCCACCAGATGATTCACGATTCCTCGTTCGGTCAGTCCAATTGGGACGAGGGTCCTCAGGATTTCGTCGTCGACGACCATCAGAATTCCGGGTTTGGTATGAACCCTTCAGCTCAGTTGTCCGAACATCCAAACCCTCCAACTCCAGATCTTCTCAGCTTGTTGCACTTACCTAGATGCTCTGGCTCTGTCTCTTTGCTTCCACATTCGTCGATCTCGCTGCCAACTTCGAGCCTTTCGGATATCATGGCTGCCTCTTGCGTTACTTATGACCCGCCCTAGCCTCCATTGATCCCTACGAACGAGTATTCCCCCCAGGCTGGCTTCTTGCTCGGGATGGAGAATCAGAGAGAGGCCGCCAATGCAGGAGTGCTTTACACGGATGGGAATGGCACTCAGTTCGATAGTGGAATCCTCGAATTCACCAAAGATATCAGTGGCTGTATCCGCAAAGGAAGAGGATCCCGAAAGAACAAGCACTTCACGACGGAGCGTGAGCGTAGAAGTCACTATAACGATAGGTTTGAAGCCTTGAAGAAACTCATTCCAAACCCTACTAAGGTTGGGTTCCCATCACATTCATTGTTGAACATTGAACTGCTTTTGCTTTCTTGTCGTGATTCCGATTTCTGGGTATGATAAAGAACAATGCTTTACTCGTTCCTTGTCGCATTATACAGACAGACAGAGCTTCGATTCTTGGAGAAGCGATCGAGTACATTCAGGAGCTGCTCAGAAGAGTGAGCGAGCTCAAGTATCTGGTGGAGAAGAAACGGTGCGGGAATAAGAGACAGAAAACAGAAGAAGAGGATATCGAAAACCCGGAAAACAAACCGGAGATCTACAACAGCAGCAACAGCAACAACTCCTTGAGATGTTCTTGGTTGCAGAGGAGATCGAAAGTCACTGAAGTGGATGTCCGTATCATTGATGATGAAGTAACCATCAAAGTGGTGCAGAAGAAGAAGATCAACTGCTTGTTGTTTGTCTCCAAGGTTCTCGACCAGCTTCAGTTGGATCTCCACCATGTCGCGGGCGGACAGATCGGTGAGCATTACAGCTTCCTGTTCAACACCAAGGTCAGTGGAAAACCTTCCTCTGTTATAAATCTTCTCTCCACCGCAACAAAAACCGATATTATTGCCATCTTCTTGAATATTCTCTGTATATCTTGTGCGCTAAATCTTCTCTGCATTACAATCAAAACCCGTGCTTGATGAAACGATGCAGATATACGAAGGATCAACGATATACGCGAGTGCAATAGCGAGCAGGGTGATCGAAGTCGTGGATAAACAGTACATGTCTGCCCTCCCTGTCAACAACTACTGAAGCCTTCATATGCATCGTTGCCATGATGTGTTTCTCTGCCCTTTCCCTCCTAATGTTGCAACTCATCAATCTCTGTTTTCTTTCTTAGATCCTTTTATGTTTGCTTTAAACACAACCTCTATAATCTCAGATATTGTCCTTTTTTAATTCAGATATTATGATTTCTGCATTAATCATATGGATATATGAAACACAATGTCCAAAAAAAATTAAATTTGTATTTGGTATCTAAATAAATTATGGCCTTGAATGGTAGGAGTTTTTGGAGTTTTTAGAATCCAAAAACAAAAAAAAAAACAACATTCAAGTTTTTACAAAATTACTTTTTCTAAAAACTTGGAAAGCCATTTTAGTGAAAAAATCAATGAAAAACCAAAAGCTACTTTTTTTGAGTTTTCAAATATTATAAAATCCAAAAGCTAAAAACCAAAAACTAAAAACCAAAATCCAAAAACTAAAACCAAAAACCCAAAATAAAAGCCATCTCCATTCAAAGCCCATGTCTGTTATTAGAAAAAAAAAATCAAAATTGCATATACAAGAAAAAAAAAAACACATGATTTTGTAACGTGGCGCAGTGTGCGACAAGTGGGCCACCAAGAATCGCCTGCGATTGGTTACTGTGAAAAGTGGGACCTACCTTCCGATTTTTTTAAACAACTCTGACTTGGCAAAAACGGAAATCGCATGATCCAACCGACAATTAAAGACGTCTATACAAGTGTGTGTGTATATATATATATATATATATATACATGAATGCTACTTTAAAAATAAATGAAAAATAAAAATATAACGCTGTGTATTTCTGGTCCTTGACGTTCATAAAAAATGGTGAAAGACTAAGGAAAGTCTCTGGTGGAAAGAGAGGATTTCAAACACGGTAGCTGTTTTTTTTTTTTTTTTTTCCGTGATGACATATATACACGTGTTGAATAATTACGCAGTAATGTCTGCATATATTTCCTGGCCTTTTGACTGACTGGTTAATCTACGGACACCGCGCTTCGAATATCCAAAATTACGAATATGGGACACGTGTGTCAAATCCTAATAATCAATTCAAACATGTGAGACTTTGGAAAAATATTTCTTAGATTAATTTTCACAAGTGATGTACAGAATGTTATATACAAGTTTCTTACGAGTGAGAATAGGAAAGTATGATACACATAATCAAATCATTGAAGATATTCCTCCACATATATAGCAACCGCTAACATGCCCCCGCAAGATTGGTGTCGTTAGCGATGCCGATCTTGGTCCGTAGTGCTTCATACCGACCGCGTGCGAGAGGTTTTGTTAGTGCATCGGCGAGCTGGTCCATCGACGAAACATGAGCAACTCGGAGCTTCTTAGCTTGAACAAGGCTACGGATGTAATGATAATCGATGCCTACATGTTTCATGCGCGAGTGAAAGACTGGATTTGCCGCAAGATAGGTAGCCCCAACATTGTCGCAATAAATTACCGGCATTGAGGGAAGAGAAATCCCAAGTTCCGACAACAAAGAAAGGATCCATTGGACCTCAGAAGCGGTGGAGGATACGGACTTGTACTCTGCCTCGGTCGAAGATTTCGCCGCAAACCGTTGCTTCTTGGATGACCAAGAAATAATATTTCGACCAAGATAAACAATATATGCCCCCGTGGACGTAAAATCATCACGATCACCTCCCCAATCGGCATCCGAAAAGGCATGTAATGATAGAGGAGAGAATCGGGAGAAAAATATACCATGTGCTCGTGTACCATTGAGATACCGTAGGATGCGTTTCAAAGCTTGCCAATGATCTGTTGTCGGGCTGTGCATATATTGAGATAGCTTGTTAACCGCATATGCAATGTCCGGACGCGTGAAAAGTAAGTATTGAAGACTTCCCAATACTTGTCTATATTCGCCGGGATCATCGAGAGGTGTCCCCGAGTGACGACTTAGGGACGAGGAGGAAGGAAGCGGCGTAGCTACGGGTTTCGCTGCAGCCATGGAATGTCGAGAGAGGATATCAGAAATGTACCGCTTTTGACTGAGTAAGACGCCGTTGTCCGTGCGAGTGACTTCGACTCCAAGGAAATAGGTCAAAGATCCGAGATCTTTAATGGAAAATCGCCGAGCTAGGATGTCAATGAACCGTTGAATGGCCGTGGTATCGTTTCCGGTGATGATGATGTCGTCTACATAGACAAGGATATATATGATGACTCCATCTTGATTTAGCATGAAAAGTGACGTGTCGGAGACGGCATTGACGAATCCAGATTGGAGAAGAAAACGACAAAGCTCATTGTACCATGCCCGGGGAGCTTGCTTGAGTCCATAGAGTGCCTTGTGGAGTTTGCACACATAGGAGGGCTTGTCTTTATCAATGAATCCCGGAGGTTGAGAAAGATAGACATCCTCTTCTAGTGTTCCTTGAAGGAACGCATTATTGACGTCAAGTTGTCGGAGAGACCATCCTCGTGTCACTGCAATGCTAAGAATAACTCGAATGGTTGCATGCTTGATAACGGGGCTGAATGTATCCGTGTAATCGATGCCCGGACGTTGATGAAAACCCTTGGCAACAAGTCTCGCTTTGTACCTGTCAAGAGATCCATCAGATAAACGCTTAATACGGAAAACCCATTTGCATCCGACCACATTGTATGATGGGTGTGACGGCACAAGACTCCACGTGCCATTGCGGAGTAAAGCGTTGAATTCATCAGCCATTGCACTACGCCATTTGGGATCTTTCAGGGCTTGAGTAACACACGTTGGTTCGAAGTCGGGGTTTGGATGGATGGTGGCGGTGAGGTTTAGTTTGGTGGTCGGTTTGGCAATCAGATTTTTCGATCTGGTTAACATAGGATGCGTGTTTTGGGACGGTGGAATAGGTGCTATGTGATCGGGGGAAGATGATGTGGGAGACGTGTTGGTCAAGGTATCAGGTTGTAGGTTCGGTGGTGATGGTACCGAGGTGGGTGAGGTCGGCTGCGGAGTCTCAGTCCTGTTTGGTGTTGGATCATGACGCGGGGGCGACTCCGGCAATGGTGGTGTGCGATGAATGGCCGGCTGAAATGGGAGACAAGTGGACAGTGGCGGTGAGGGGAATGAGACTTTCTCGGAGGAAGAGCATGAATCCGAGAGGTGACGAGAGTATGGAAAATCGGTTTCAATAAATTCCACATGACGAGAAATATAGACACGTGAGGTTGGGACATGAAGGCATAAAAATGCACTTTGGGTAAGAGAGTACCCGACAAAAACACAAGCAGCCGACCGAGGATGGAGTTTGTGAGGAGAATATGGGCGAAGCCATGGAAAGCACAAGCAACCAAATGTGCGGAGTTTTGAGTAATTAGGAATGTCTCCGAAAAGAGCTTCATATGGAGACCGATATTGAAGGATGGAAGAGGGAAGACGGTTGATGAGATAAACCGCCGCGGGTAAGGCATAGGTCCATAGTTCGGTTGGAATGGAGGCACTTGAGAGAAGTGTAAGACCGGTTTCCACAATGTGTCGGTGTTTGCGTTCCGATACACCATTGTGTTCCGGTGTATGAGGTGGAGAGGTATGGTGGGAAATACCATGGGTAGATAAAAAGTCTTTTAGAGCAACATACTCTCCACCATTGTCGGAGAAAAGAGTGACTATTTTGTGTTGAAAACGATTTTCAACAAGGCTTTTAAAACGAGGGAAAATGGTTGCGACATCGGATTTTTGGCGAAGAGAATAAAACCACGTGTAACGGGTGAAATGATCGATAAATATAACGTAATATTTGAACCCGTCAACCGAATTGATTGGCGATGTCCAAACATCCGAGTAAATAAGTTCAAGAGGACGAGACGATTTGACCGAGGTTATAGAGAAAGGAAGCTTATGGCTTTTATTAATGTGACAAGACTCACAAGACAACAGACGACGGGGACTACATGATAAAGGAAGAGAAAAATGTGAAATAATGAAATCAAGGACTTCACGAGACGGATGACCTAATCTAGAGTGCCACTCAGAGATGGACGTCTTGACACTGGATAACGCAAGAGTTGAGGGCTTATTAATGGACGGATAGGGCAATGAACAGGATGGCCATTCATACACACCATTTTTAAGTGGTCCGCTTGCCAGGATTGCCCCCGTGTTGCGATCCTTCACCTGAAAGGAATGAGAGAAAAATTCCACAGACACGTTATTGGAAAGACAAAGTTGATGAATGGATAAAAGATTACGTTGCATGGTTGGGACGTAAAGAATATTATGGAGCTTAAGGGGAAAAGAGGTAGAGGGAAGAATGGTGGAACCAGTGTGTGTTATGGCAAGCCCTGATCCATCGCCAATGACGACTTCATCTCCTCCATGGTATGGAGAATGGAGCGATAGATTCGCTAAGTCCGAGGTTACATGATGGAAAGCTCCCGAGTCAAGCAACCACGGCGATCGTGGTGATGAAGGAGGAACGACAGCTTGATGTGCAGTTGGGCGCCATTGGGAATAGGCAGGATTCGGAGCTGAGATCTGATCCGAGGGTCGTGGAACCGGTGTCGGAAGGAGATGACAGTTTCGGGCGCTGTGACCTTGGACGCCACAAAGTTGGCATTTTCCAAGGTATGGTCGAGGAGATCCTCGCGCATAGGTCTGATGAGTATGCTGCATTAGCGGCGGGCGAGGAGAGAAGCCCGAGGTTGGACGACCCCGAGAACGCCAAGGAGGACGGCTGCCGGTGTGAGCAATGTGAGCCGAGATCGGAATATCCGATGGATTGGAAGCAATGAGGTCAGCATCGTGAGAGAGAAGCCTCTCATGAAGTTCTATGAACGAAATAGTCGTATCCCGAGCATGAACCGCATCCTTAATCGCTCTGTATTCATCACCAAGTCCGGCAAGGATGAGATCAATGAGATCTTCATGATCCATTGGTTTTCCAAGCAATGCAAGTTCGTCCGCCTTGATCTTAAAGAATCGCATGTAATCATCAATAGATTTGGATCCTTTGGTGTGACGACGCAATTGTTCCTTTATTTGCTTAACATGGCCACGGCTTGAGCGACCATAAGTGTCGGAGAGGGCTTTCCATGCAGCTGCTGAGGAAGAGGAGGTTGCGACTAAGGCTTGGCAGGATGCGGATATAGAACCGAGGAGAGCCGAAAACACGAGCCGATCTTGACGATGCCACGGAAGGTAGGCAGGATTCGGCGTGACTGTGTTGCTGACAATTGTCGTGGGTGCCGGAGCAGCCGATGGATCGAGATAACTCTCGAGGTTGTAGCCTTCCAAGAGAGCTTGGAGTTGAATGCTCCAAGTTAAGTAATTTGTCCCATTGAGTTTCGAGACATTCGATACATTGACATTGATCAATGTATTGGCAGGATCGGCTAGGTTATGAGGAGTGACATTGTCACTTGGGAGAGTGCCGGAACTCGAAGGAGTGTCGGAGGCCATGACCGAAAGAGACGATGGCTAGAGAAGGCGGCGCGGTGGCCGAAAGTTTGCAAAAAGAAGAATAGGGTTTTTGAGGGGTATTGTCGTAAGACAAATTTAGGCTCTTGATACCATGTGAGACTTTAGAAAAATATTTCTTAGATTAATTTTCACAAGTGATGTACAGAATGTTATATACAAGTTTCGTACGAGTGAGAATAGGAAAGTATGATACACATAATCAAATCATTGAAGATATTCCTCCACATATATAGCAACCGCTAACAAAACATACATATATATTCAGTCCATGCAATATCTTCGGACTTGCCAAAAATGAATTTGAAATTCTCGTGCGTGGCCAGGGGCCGCCATTTTTTTGTCTTCTTTCATTTTCTCCCATTTTTTTAAGATATTATAATAAATTAAAGGTGGATTTCTCACGGAATTGTACGTATTTTTGGATACCATATGTAAACTATTTTATAGATATCTTCATAAAATATCATCTGGGTTTCTTTATTGTCTTTCCTTTTCCTATTTCTTGGTTTGTAGTTTATTAATATTTTCTAGCTACAATTTTGTATCAATAAGATATAATATATGATAATAAAAATACTCGTAATATTATAATACGCGAATGAAACCGACCCACAAAAAATAAAGGCACGAAAGTGGATAAACACTCGCTATCCATTAGGCAATAACAGAATTATAACACTTACAACATCAAAATATCGATACTTCTCCCAATAGTATGTCGTTTGGCAAGAATGCTAAAAACTAACAACGAAAATGAAATAAAATATTACCAAAAAAAAGGAAACTGAAATAAAATGAAATAAAATAAAATTATAGAAACTGAAGAAAATCAGAAGTGAACAGAAGAGAAATGAAGCTGACGTCAATTGCACGAACTCATGAGAAGCTCCTCCAAGTAGTCAGCACCCAAGTCCTCAAGAATCACAAGTGTACTGTCGGTGAATTCTTGCTTAATCATTCGTTGTCTTATTGATGATGATGGTGGTGGTGATGATGGTGATGATGATGATGATGATCTTTTCTTCCCTCGAGGCCGGTTTCGGAGAGAATGCTTGCGTTTCAAGGCCATGACGGGTGACCCTCCATCATTGAAATTGACGTTTTTCATGTTTTGAAGCGATTCTCTAACCACTTCGACCGGGAAATTCAGTATGGCCGAGACGCCTTTGAGTGCGAAAGCGGCCTGGTCGTAAGCCAACGCTGCTTCCTCCGCGGTGTCGAACGTTCCGAGCCAAACCCGGATCCCGTTTCTCGTCGAATCCCTAATCTCCGCCGCGTATTTCCCCCATGGACGTCTTCTGACTCCTCTGTAGGCTTTTTCCCCTTTCGAATTGGATACTTCTCCTTTGATCGTCGCCACCTCTTCTTCGTTGGCGAGATTCTCTTCGTAGTAACAATTGGGAGTAGGGAAGAAGAATTCGGATGTCGGGTCGAAGAACTCATCGTTCCAAAAGAATGGCGATGATTCTTGCGAGCTCCACGAGCCAGAGGGAGAAGAAGATGATTCATGGGAGAAATTTTGACTTTCGTAAATGGAAAATAAGGTTGATTCCATTTTTTTTTTCTCTTGTTTGGTTACACTTGAATATTTGAAAAACATAGTGACCTATTTATATATATGAGATTAAACGAGATCCGGTATTTTGAAAGTGGGAATTATATATATATATATATATATCTTTGTGTATATATATTGGTGTGGTGTGGGGCCTAGGGTCGAAGGAGGCTGCCCTATAATAAGTTAATAACCCCTCTACGTATTTTCGAATTTAAATATTTCGATTTTGGTTAGAGAGATATTATAAGAAAATCCAAAATGGTAATAACAGGATCTCCCCATCAAACGAATTAAAACCAGTGGGTGATTGATTTACCACGTGGGTCAATCCCCCCGATCCTTGCAATGACGTACGGCGGCGGGATTCCGACAAAGGATCTGAGATAAGCTGATGACATGGCACATATTTGCCACGTCGGTAATTGGCAGCATTAATAATTTCCACAATAATCGCGGATTATCATATTTAAGGCAAATAAAAAAAAACAAATATGTAATTATTTGACGTACTCTAAGCACGGAAGTTATGGGATATCGTAGAGAAGAATGTAGCACTATTTGGACGGAAAACAATATTATGAATATTACTAATTAACGGTGAGAAATTAATACTAATATTTTATAAATAAAATTATAAATATCAATTTTATTCGGCTGAATGATGATTGACGATTTCTGAATAAAAATAAAGAAATAAATGCGCATTATATGTTTGACACTTTGGTAAACGAAATTAATTTTGGACGAGGCTTCGTGGCGTGGGTATTGCATTCCGAGATATTGTTCTACAAGTTTTACAAGCATACATACATACATATATATATCATTCATCCGCTGGTACGTAGAAAAGTAGTATCATGGCTTGAAATGACCAAATACTTTTATCGTTTCATGATCACGAATTGCTAATTTGCTACATATATATATATTATTTCATGAAATGGATTTCTTTTTTTGTGAAGCCTGTCCATTTTGGATATCACCTAATTACATTATTCCACTTTTTCAATGAAAGCAACGAGGATTTTGATGTTTCACAATTTTCTTATTTATATCTATTATTATTGCATTCACATATATACTGAAAGAAAAATGTTATTCATAGATGGGAACAAATAACTATATAAATTAATCTATAGGAGAACTAATAATACATGCTTGTTTTTCTAATTTAAAGATCACTGGTCCGAATTCACTGGAATATTAAGGATTAATTAATTCACATGCCCACCATAACCTCTAAATCACCCATCTTATAGACTTTCGTCGTTAAAATTGTTCAAAATAGCATGTTTGGTGTTTGTTTATATCCAAATTTAGATTATGGATTATAGATTAGAGAATTTTATGAACTAATCAAAACACATATCTATAAAAAAAAAATCAGCGTTCGTATTTTAGAAATAAATATATAGTTAGTGAATGATGTAATATTAGTGAAATCTAATAAAATACGGTGGCATTCAGCGGAATTTACTTGTTAGATATACGTTATATCTTCTCTAAATATTCCTAATAAAAAAGAGTTATTTCTTCTATATATTCTTTTGTTATCCTCTATATTTCTATAAACAATATATATACACGCACATACAACTTGGGTTACAACGGGAATGCGTGGATTTTCAATGAAGAACTGAGAAATAGCGAGAAGATTCACATATTTTAAGGGTAATACCCAAATATAATATATGCTATATGATTAGCATTCTATATTTCATATTTTTTTTTATGTTCTTGGAAACGGATATGAAAGTTTTTTTTTTTGATAATATGTGATTTATCAAGAGTATGGTTCGAATCTGGGTGGAGCACTTTTTGGGAAAGTTTTGCCTTACACAAAAATAAAATGTTCTTCAAAAGATTGACGTTTGACCCCTACATGTCTAGATGCACTCCTCCTTTGCTTTTAAGTGTGTATATATATAATGACACACACATATATATATATTTATATGTCTATGTATAACGACATAAAATTATGACAAAACGTATCCCAGCAGCTGACTTGGGCGGCCTGTACTCTAAGCGAGTGTCACAATTTATTATTTTGATATATGGATCGTGTAATTCTTGAATTTTTGCATTTTATATATATATATATATATATATATATCGACAAAATTAAGTTTAAAGAATTGTTTGTATATATATATGTTCTAAGTGGTGTATTTTTACGATGGACCACATGAAATTATAAATAATTTGGCTATTCCTAATTGAAAATACAATAACAATATGCAAGTGACAGAGAGGGTGCAAATGCAATGAATGCTCCTTATTTATCATCATTCAGCATCCTCTTACCTCACTTTATGCTACATCTTAATTGGTCCTACCTCCTAAAGTAAACCCACGAATGTTGTTACCCTATATATTTTCGATAATTTAATCCACATTTAACTAGTAGATAGACATCGTAGTAATCTTTTTAATTTTAGCTGTGTTAGAAATACATAATATTTTGATTTAATTTTAAAAATTTACAAATTTTGTTTATATTTTAAAATAGTTCATCTATTGATCATAATAAAATTTTATATATTTTTTACCGCATTTTTACATGATTTTGTCTTTAATAATTTTACAAATTTGCAGATCAAATTCATTTTTTACCAAAAGAAAAAAGTATGAAAATGTAAAAGACGAATTCAGTATTATCCAATGATAAATTTTATTTGTTTCTATGTTATAGATTTTATCTTAAATAGTTAAATTTTCTTATGATTATATTTGTATCTCTGCAAATAATAATATGATTTTAAATTTTAAATAATAAAATTTATAACAATTAACTCAAACATGATTTAGTGTGTTGATTATAAAAAAATGATTTAGTGTGTTACTAGCTAGTGATAAGTTTTTAGTTGTTGATTAAACAATGATTAATGCATTATAGAAAACACATAAATTCAAACAACTAGTGTAATTAAATTGGAGTGGATTATAATAATAGAAATGCATCAACTTGACAAGGCTGAATATATATTTTTATATTTAAAAGTTATATATATAGATTGTTATTTTATACCCTATAGATTTTTTGTACTGACCGCTTAGTAAAAATTCATCTTAAAATAAGCGTGATTATAATCGAAAAAAAAAACTAAAATTAAGCATTTTAATATATACTTTTAGTACTCGTATCCTTCGTTTGAGCCTATCGATACAATGTTTTTTAAGGAGAGATGATGTTTAATACACGTGTCGGTCGATCAACCGCAATAATCATAAGTCATCTTCTAATATCATATATAACCCGAAAGATTAATGGATGATTAAACGTTTATTGGGACAAACATCAATAAAAAAAAATTGGTTTAAATACACACGATTAGTATATGTCGCTTCACACTAAAAAAATATATGGATTAACATGTTAACGATGATTAATGCAAATAATTGTTACCATGTATATATTAGAAAAGATTATATTATCCGGTTATTTTGTAATCTAATTCAATATTTACTAACTTTCCGACTTATTCCAACTTGTAAGAAAGCATGCCATGGGCCCAACTGAACAATTTCTATTTTTTTATTATTAAACAAAACTTGCTTTAAAAATAAAATCTCAATAAAAATCAAAATTTTGTAATTGTTGGACCAACTGCAAACGAACCCCTTTGTTAGGCCAATTATGTTCAAATGGGCGGTTTGAATCTATGTGGTACATATTATAATATTGCATAATAAGACAATTTAAAAAATAAAAAACCACACATTGACGGCTTTCTAAACCATTTTCGAAATCTCTAGTTTTGAACTGTTCAAAACTGAAGTTATATTCGCACGTGATATTGTGAGTTAAATTTGAATGGTAATAATAATAGACACACACGAGTGTAGACCGAACATCGCATAAATATTCGTTCAATGCAATACAACGGTCCAAATTATAAAAACAAAAGCTATTTAATACTAAATATCACTCTTAATTATTCAACCAAAAAAATATCACTCAATTAATTTATAACATATATGTATGCATATATATATATATATATTATATTGTTAGTTGGGTTATGTTATTGGTAATATATATATATATATATATATATATATATATATTAAGCGACGAATCCGGAAATTTAAAAACAAGGTCGTTTATCCGTTATTAGGACGGGAAAATGCATGAATCTTCATTTATGACACGTGACAAATTTGTTTCAAGACTCAAAAACACTTTTGAGCGAGAACCTTATTCGAATACAATATATATATATATA